TCACAAAGACTCTTGGATACTTTAGGACCCAGCGCAGCCACAGAGATGATGGAGGGAGTGGGACATCTCCCTGGTGAGGAAAGGCTGAAGTAGCTGGGGCTCTGCAGCTGGAGAAGAGGAGCCTGAGGGATGATCTCATAAATGTTTATAAATACGTCAAGGGGGATTGTCAGGAGGATGGAGCCAGGCTCTTTTCAGCGGCGTCCAATGACAGGACAAGGACTAATGGGTACAAGCTGGAACACAGGTTCCATAAAAGTATTAGAAAAAACTTTTTCACTTTTTCACTGTTAGAGTGATGGAGCACTGGAACAGGCTGCCCAGGGAGGTTGTGGAGTCTCCTTCTTTGGAGACATTCAAAACTTGCCTGGACAGGTTTCCTGCGCGATCTAATGCAGGTGGGCTGGACTAGATGATCTTTTGAGGTCCCTTCCAACCCCTGACATTCTGTGATTCTGTGATCTGTGACCTGCAGTCATATCTGATCTACTACGGGGAATGTGGTGAGGCTGCATCTTGAGGTTGATACCACCCAGAGCTTTCAGCATGGCCATTAGCCCTGACCCTCATTTTCCCCAGGGATTGCACTATCAGTCCAGAGGATCCTGGTCCCCACGCAGCACCTGGCTCCCTTTCAGCATCACAACTGAGGGAGCAGTCAAGGCAAACAGCATGATTGTCCAAGCGTCTTCTTGGGTGAGATACCACTAGAGGCAAAACCCTGACCGCGGTCTCCCGCTCTGCTTCCCCTTCATCAGGGACCTGACTGATAACCAGCTGGTCACGCTGCCTCTCGATGGTTTGGGTGGACTGACCCATCTGAAGCTCCAAGGCAACCCAGCGCTCTCCGAGCCCTTCACCAAGGAGAGCTTCCCCAAAATGAGGTACTGCTGGTGATGGCTCTTTCACTTCTGACGCTCAGCACAGCCTGTGTTTGCTTATAGCAATCAGCCTCCTGCTTCCCTTGTTTATCTCATGCTTTCCTCCATCCTTTCAGGCCAATAGGTTGAGGAAGCTTCATCTGCTGCTAACGCCCCTCATCTTTTAAAGTCTTCCACGGGAGAGTGGTGATGTGCTCCCGGGCCTGCCGCCCCCAGCCCAGACACACACATAAGTGGAAAGAAAGCGTGGAGAGGGCCCAGCTCAATGGAAAACATTCCCAGAAGCCAGTCCTAGCTAATGACATCCAGCTTTCCTTCAGTAAACTCTGTTTGTGTGGCCATTTCTTGTCTGCTCTGGATTAATGAGGAGCCTGAAGGGGTCAAACTGAGCAAGACGAGGCTGCAAAAGGCTCAGAGTGCACTGCTGTGCTGCAGGGTCTCACTTTCCTGACCGTCTCTTAGTGGTGGGTCTCCAGAACAGCACCTGCCCTCAGGCTGAGAGGCCCATGGTCCAGATGATTCAAATTCCCCTGAGATGAAGATATCTTCTTCTTGGGTCTCCCAGGTAGTGCCCTTGGAGCCAAGGATGATACACCCATCCAGTACAGGTTCCCAAGGCTGGAGCTTCCTAAATTTAGACACGCACTGCAGGGCTCACAGGTGACTGCACCAACATTGGACTTGATAGGTCGGGTCTGATGGAAAGTGTGGAGCTCTCACTTCAGTCTGCCTCAGCAGTGGTGCCTGAAGGGCTTTCTCTTCTGACTTTTTTAACTCATCATTGCTGGGATCTGCTGGGATCAGGGGATCCCCAAAGCTTCTGGAGGGCTTTCCACACCCAAGATGGCAGTCCCTTGTGCAGAGCAGGTCAAGTTCAGCACTTCCAGGCGCATTCCTCCTCTAAATTAATTCGACTGACATCTGTGGAGCTGGTTTGGATTTGTACCAGAGAGCAGGAGAGGTTCATTGAACCACACCAGGCAATGGTCCCATTAACATTTCCTAGATTTGGGGTACCACCATTACATAGTCTTATTCTTGGGGCATGTGTCTGGAGGAATCATCTGAAAGCAGTTCTTAGACATCCTGGGAGGCTCTGTACCTCCTTACCACCTTTCAATAATAGGATTTAATTTGGAGCTTATAACAGGAAGCAAGCATGTATACAGAGTTTCCATAGCCTCCCGGGACTCGGCCAGAAATGTTTGGGAACTTAAAACAAAAGCGTATTTTTCGAATATAGAGTTTCACCATATTTACTGATCTTGTCAGAAGTCCTTAATTGTCTGGAAAACCTGAGGTTCCCTTGCCTTCATCAGCGGTCTTCCCGACTTCCAGTAAAGAAGCAGGAGTCTGCTATCTTTGAAGAAAACACAGCTGCTGACTGATAGCCTGGTATTTCATCCAGATGATGTTCAGCTGCTGTTTAATTAACCTTGTAAAACAAACTATAATTAACAACTTACAATTCTACTTTTAAGTAGAAATCAGACATATTAAAATAACTTGCTGTGCTTGAGAGACCTCAGATTTTCCTGCCTGAGCTGGGAGATCTGCATGGCACACTCATGGAGCTGGAGTTCAGAGGTGCCTCTCTGGTCTTCAGCAACAAGCAAGAGGCACCTTGTTCTTGCTCAAGCACTCAGAAAGCTTCTCACCTTGAGCAAAAGAAAGGATGCGCAGCAAAAAGTGCCCTTGGGGTAAAAAAATGAAGATTCCACATGCACATGGCATATTGCTAGAGGGCATGGGAAGGAGCAGCTAATTCAGCCTAGGCAGAGCTGCAGAAAGGTTTTTAGGAATTATTCAAGAACTTTAGTGTAGTTTCCAAACCTGGTGTTTGACAACATCCTATTGACAGTGTCTCAAGCACCAAAAGGAGAGCAGTGCAGAGACACCATGGGGTGTCTAGAGTCCACACGCTGTCCTACATGGAGTCCTTCACCAGACCAAAGTCCTGCTCCAGTGTAACCATCACCTGACAGACTGGCTTTTGTCACTTAAGGAAATTAAGCAAAAAGTGCAAAGCAACAGAGAACCAGCTCATGGAGATGACATACCTATAAGTTTTGCTTTCCCCCTTTGCAGAGTCCTTGAGGTACCTTATGCCTACCAGTGCTGTGCCTATGGAAGCTGTAGCAGCCTCTTCAAGATGTCCAGCCAATGGGAGGAGGCAGAAGACTTGAGCCCTGAGGAGGAGGATCCCCACAAGAGGACCATGGAATTGTTTCCAGGTCATGCTGACAACCACTGTAAGTAAACCGAGCTGAATGGTGATCAATCCATCTGTGCCGCGAGCGAGGATGTGATCCTGCAGGAGCGGTGCCACTGCCAGCCGTGCAGTTACGCCTGCCTCAGGGAAGCCAGGCTGACCCCTCTCCAGCTCTGGTAGCCACTTGCTGTCAATGGGCTTCAATTCGTGTCACTGCCGTGCAGAGAGAGCTGATCCGGCGTACCCAAACCTTCACAATCTAACAGAAAGATCTGACAGTCCTTAACAATGTGGACACACTCACTACTTTGGCTTCACTGACTTGCAGAGAGAGGCTGCTCAAGCCTCCGAGGTGGCTGGGGTTGCATAGGACAGCCCATGGGCTTGGTCATGAGACTTCTAGGTAGTACAGACCCTTTGGCAGAGGATGGATCCTATAATTAGTCTGAATAAGAGAATCAACTCAAAGAACTGGAATGTGCAGCTGGCTGGAGGTGAAGAAACCTGTGTCTGTGCTACTTTTGTACACATACCCCGATACTACAGCAAAGACCAGGGTTGGGTATAAACAAAAGGACATGTTTGGAGAATATTATGGGCTCAGCACAGGGGCTAGCCTGTGCAGGGCAGAAGTGGCTCCAGAGTTAAAGATCAGCAGCTCTTTCTGTTCAAGAGTCCATCTGTTCTTTGCTCCAAAATGCACTTCTGCACAGACCACCAGGAAATCTGTTGCATTAAGCCAGCAGAAGAGTGTGCAAAGCACATCTCCTGCACCCTCAGACTCAAAAGCACCACAGCAGCTCCCAGCAGAAAGGTGGTGTGATCCCTTTGCAAAGCAATCTCAGAATAATGGGGAGAAAAACATGAGGCTCTACTTACTCTGTAACTGCTGGAAAGTGGAAATAACATTTCAGGACACAGCTTGGATGCCTCATTGGTTTATATGTTTGTGTAAACACGGAGACCACATGCACTTCCGAGGTCTGCAATGCCTGTAGGCAAAAACCACATCGTGTGTGTGCCCATAGGAGATGGGGAGGGGCCTGAGTCCCCAAAGAGCATCCAACTCACCATAGCCAGAGGCTCCGCAGAATCATCTCTTGCATTCCAAGCAGGCAGGGCTGTATCAGGAGGCAGGTATTGACCCAGAGCAGTTGGATTCTCTGTGTTACGGCAGTGACGGGAGGCAGGAGGATCCAAACGCTTCATGACACAGCCAGCGAGCGAGTCACGAGCCTTCTGTCCCTTATGCCTCCTGCCCAGCCCTGATCCTTCACAGACTAAGAATAAGCTTTAGCAATGTAAAAAGGATTCCTACCAGCCTGATGTGGGGCCTGGAAACATGGTAGACTTGGTGGTTAAGCTGGGCAGGCAGTACAGAGGAACCATAAGTTACGGTCATTGCTGCAGGAATTTCTTCTCAGCGAGGTCAGATTTTCCATCACTAACACGCCCATACTCTAACAGTCCTTGTGCATATAGTTGGGATGTTTGCCCAGCACATTACAGCATCTGTGAAAAGACCTGTTTTGTGGCCAGGGCCCATGGCACTGCTTACGGACCTGCTCTTGCTGGACTTCAAAGCATTTGCTATCTCAAAGGATACTCTCCCCTGGCCCTGTCAGCAGACCAATACCCAGCACAGGCTCCCAGGCCTCTGAGCCAGTCTCAGCCTCATGGATTATCTGTGTGTTCATGAGATATTAGGACCAGAGGGAAATGCTGACTGATTCCAAGATGTGCCAGATGAGGCGATTAGCACCTCATAAAGGCTCACATTTTCAGATGTTAAAGAGCTAGGTTTGTCTTGAAATATCAAACCACAGAGGTGCAAACATGAAATGCATGAGAACATCCTCCCTTCCTATGTGCAGCTTTTGCAGATTATTCTCTTTACTTTTCAGCAATGCACGATCTGCTCTTGATGATGATGCGTTTGTGATATTGCGCTTTTACTTAATTAATTGCTTCTTTATTTCCATTCCCAGTGCTTCCTTTCTGATGGGCACCAGCAGTGTTTAGCTGTTTTATATGAATCTGTAGCACTTCCTCATTAGAGACGAGAAAAAGCTCCCAAACATTCCTTCCATGCAAGAGATAAAGTGGTCTCATTAAGAGAAAATAACTCGGGGCTCTGTCCCTGCAGTGTACAGCCAGGCTCGTCAGGGCACTTGGATGCTGTGGGAGAACTTGTGAGAGGGATGGAGCACGCCTCCAGACATCCAAGTCCTCTCAGCCTTGTCCAGTGCTTCCAGCAAGGGGCTGAGGAGCCCTTCTCGAACAAGCCAACAGAACCTCATCTCTGGGTGATGAAAGATGACTTGTCCCGCGCAGCAGCGCGGAGATGAGAAACGTGTTCCTGGTGGCAGAGCCCTGCTCCAGCAGCCAGACCATGCCACCTCCCACAGCATGTCCCTCTCCCGCATCCAGCACCCTTCCCTCAGCCAAGCCCAGCACCCAAGGGACCACCTGACTCCAGCCACAGATTGCACGTGATGCCATGGACCTTGGGGCCAGCTCAGCTCTTTCCCATCCTCCCAGGCATCCTTGATGCCCAGGAACACCCTGGACACCACCCAAGTGTGTCCACTCCCATCCAAGTAGTGGCCACCCAAGGCCCAAAGGAGGGTGCAAGCCTCATCGCTCTGTCACCCTGCCACGCCAGCTACTTAAGGTTGCATATCCAAAATTTTTGGTGCCTGCCATATGCCTCTTTTGATCATAATCAGTGGTGTTTAGCAGGAACCCCTTGCCCCAAACCTGGGCAGCAGACCAAAGATGGCTCGAGGGCCTCTCCCATAGGACATCCACCTAACACTGCCCAGCTGCTCGCTCCTGCTGGCATCCCAAAACTGGCTGCAGAGGGAGGACATGCAAAACATGCCACGGGGAACTTCCATCACAGTCCCAGCACCCCACTTCAGGACCACTGGTTTGAGGATAGAAACGGATGTATTGACTTACTAGCATCTGTTTGCAATAATGGAACAAAGCTATAGAAAGCGAGAAGAGATCACACTTGTATGGTTATCCTTGACAATACGGCACCGCTTTACCCAGTTCAGCACCTCTACTAGTTTGTAAAGCTGACTAATTACCTTTTGCAACCATCCAGCGAAGCCTGGAGGGTTCATAGAGCTACACTTTTCCTGCTTCTGTCATTCAAGGAGGCTACTCAAATCCTTCAAAGAGCACCTGCCCAGGCCCCTTGCAGCCACCCACGCCCTAACTCAAAGGGGGAGAGCAATTATCTGCAAACCCCACGTGAGGACTGCTCTGGCTACAGACAGTATAAGAGAAGAATCATCCAGCCCAGTGGTTTTTGTTCTACCCTTTCTCCAGCAATTTTCCTCCTCTTCCTCTCGCATCAGTTTGGTACAGCTGCCGGGAACTATTTTCCAGAAAAAGGGCACTGCCAGCAACGTGGGATTATTCCGTAAGGCTTCAGAAAGGAGGAGCCTTAGCAAAGTTCAGATAAATACTACTTAAAAAACAATGCACTCTGCTTTGCTAGAACACAACAGCCTTTCCCCCCCACCTCCCTACAGTTCCCAGGCTGGGAAAAGTACTGATTTCCAATAGAGAGAGGTACATTTTCTGCTTTGAATCCTGCTGTGCTGGCCAAGGACTGCTTTGCAATTCGCAGCTAGCTCAGTAGTCCAAGCACAAAAAAAAGATCGCTCCTTCACTCCATGCAGCTGTTTAACCTATGCTGAAAACCAACCGTCGTGCTTTCTGGCCCTTTGAAGGAAAAAGGGAAGGGGTGGTTACACTTTACCAGGGGTCGGGAGGCAGGGGGACACAGAAAGTGCCAGTCTCTGCGATGATTTGAGCATCGTGACTGCACATCACAGCCTCTGCGCTGTGGACGGAAAAGGCACTGGAGATTTATAAGACCATAAAATACAAGGAGGAAATATTTTTCCATCCCACTGTGAGTGTTTTCTTGCCAGACTCCAAAGCAGCAGTAATATTTCAGCTCTTATACAGACAGATTTTTAGATTTTTTTTCTTTTCCAAAGCTCACTGAAGCCAAGAAAGCCACAATGCTTGTCAGGAGGCACTAAAGATAGCACGTTATTTGTCATCATTCTTTAATCAAATAATCCCAGTCATATTTTCAAACATGGGCAGGGAACAGACCCCATGAGAGGCACCATTTCTAAACAGATTAGGCAATCAAATCCCACTTAGGCTAAGCCGTATCTTCAGCACTGTAGAAACTCGCCTTCAGTGTCTGAGCTGCCAGGTGCTGGGCACCAGCATCATTCTGTGCCATCCAAGGGAGAGTTCACGCCCCCGCCACAGAGCCAGCTCCCTGGCTATTGGGCTGTGGCAAGCAAAAAAACACGTCTTTTCCCCTTCCTCCCACCCACAAAACCCTCCAAAGCTCTCCACTGGGAGCAGAGGACCGTGCTGGTGCCATGGGTGGGGATGGTGCAGTGGGACAGCAGCTGTCCTCACCATGTCCCAGCGCTGTGAATCAGCCGTAGTTTGAGAAGAGGAGCGAGGAACAAAGCAGAAAAAGCACGTCTCGGATTAGATCAAGAGGATGCCATTCTCCATGGTGATGACCTACACCTAGAGGCCATCGAAACAGCTGGGCTCTCGGCCCCATTCTCCTCCAGCAGCTTGTCCTTCAGTGAGGGATTCTCTGCCTGAGCCACAAGGAGCCCAAGCCTGGCCCTGGGTGCAGCAGCCAGCGTGGTGGAGAAGCTGGCTCAGCTGGCTGGGTGCTGAGGGCAGCGCAGCCTCATTGCATAAACCCCAAAGTCTGCAGGCATGGGCAGCTGTTTAGCAAATCCAGGGCTGGGAACCTTCAGGGTTAAAAACAGTCCCACAGAAATCACGGGACATAAAGCAATAAATGTTGAGTTCTCTTGCCTTTTTGCTTCTGGGAAGTTTGGTGGTGGTGGTGGTGGTTGCTGATGAAGAATTTGTGCTGCAAGTAGAGGCTAACAGCTCTCTTTGAACAAAGCTCCAAAGTCATTGTTGATGAACTAACATTGGACAAGGCCTGCCCAGAACGCTTCCATTTAGAAGATGCATTTGAAGGCTTTGTTTTCTGTAACCACATAGGCTAGAGAATTTCTTTATTTTTAATAAAGCGTGCTGGGAGGAGGGATCTGCAGTCACAAAACTCTGGGATCTGGGGCTCTTACACTTCAAATATTGGGAGTAACCTAAAAACAGAGGGGTCGGCCACACTGTAACCCACCAATGTTTACAAGACCTTCTCCCTCTACAGCAGTGACTGCAGGGGACAAACTGGACACCAGCAGCTACTTTGAATTTGTGGCCTGGAGCTGTCTGGGAAGGCTTGTGTTGAGGACAGGCAGTGGGGAAAGCTTCTGGCCCAGCTAGCCCTGATGGCCCTGCTCATTCTTCTCTGAGCATCGTTTCTTGCTGCTTTCTCCCCAGATGACCTAGATGTGGATGACCTCCAGCTGGACCTTGAGGAATCAAAGCTGCACCCCACTATTCAGTGCACGCCAAGCCCCGGTGAGCCACCAGGGAAATGCTTTGAACACAGCAGGCATCCTTTGAGCTTCTCTAAATCCCCAGGATCCCACGATCCTTCCTGCAGTGTCTCATAGACATGCAGATCGGAAGCCTCAATGGTTGGGCTTTGGCCAAACTGGGGACAAGTGAGGAGCCTCCTTCTCCCACTCAGATGTAGCTGCCCTCCTATGAATGGAGGACAAGGTCATGGTATCCCTGACCAGGAATCCCAGGTATCACCAGGCATCCACCAACCTGCCCACAGTCAAGAAGTTCCTGTTCCCTTGCAAAACTTAGAGTTTGTTTTGTCCCAATCAGCCCAGATTATTGCATGACAAGACCTTGTCCTTGATGTCCTGGTCGTACTTGCGGCACTGTGTAATGTTGTAAGCACCAGCATTCAAGGGGCTGGTGGGGCCAGGAGAAAGCTGGGACCTGGCCACTGCTCTGAGCAGCACTACCCCCAGAGCAAAGCAGAATATTTCAGGTATAACTCTGGGGTTTGTCTCCTTCCAGGTCCCTTCAAGCCTTGCGATCATTTGTTTGAGAGCTGGATCATCCGCCTCGGTATCTGGGTCATCGTTCTGGTCTCGGTGCTCTGCAATGGGCTGGTCATCCTGGCTGTCTTTGCCTCTCCCAGCTACCTCTCTCCAGTGAAGTTCATCATCGGCTCCATCGCTGGAGCCAACATGCTGACCGGCATTTACTGCAGCATGCTGGCTCTCGTCGACGCCCTGACCTACGGCCAGTTCGCCAAATACGGTGCCAGATGGGAGATGGGTGCAGGCTGCAGAGTGACAGGATTCCTGTCGGTGTTTGCCTCTGAGGCCACCATCTTTCTTCTGACGTTGGCTGCCGTGCAGTGCAGCATTTCAGTCTCCTGCTTGCGGAGCTATGGAAAGTCACCTTCCTTAGGCAAGATCAAGGCTGCTGCATTTTGCTGCCTGTTATTGTCCTCCGTGGCCGCCGTTCTGCCTCTCTTCTCCATCGGGGAATATGGAGCATCCCCTCTTTGCCTCCCGTATCCCATCCCAGATGGGAAATCCACCACCCTGGGCTTCACTGTGGCCTTGGTGATGACAAACATGCTCTGTTTCCTGACTATCACAGCCACCTACATCCGACTCTACTGCAACCTGCTGAAGGGGGAGTTCAGCGCGGTCTGGGACTGTGCCATGGTCAAGCATGTGGCCTGGCTGATCTTCACCAACTGCCTACTCTACTGCCCAGTAGCCTTCCTCACCTTCTCCTCCACACTAAACCTCTTCCTCATCACCCCAGAGGTCATCAAATCTGTCCTCCTTGTGGTCCTGCCCCTGCCCGCCTGCCTGAACCCCTTGCTCTACCTGCTTTTCAACCCCCACTTCAGAGATGACCTCCGCCTGCTGAGGCAGAAGGGCCAGGAAAAGGGGAGCTACAGTCAGTCCTGTGGGGCCGATGACATGGAAAAAAGCTCCTATGACTCCACCCAGGCTCTGGTGAGCTTCTCCGACATTGACCACATATTTGAGACACCTGATTCCCTGGGAGTGCACCCCGTCCTTGACCGCTACAGCTTCCCCTCCATGACGCTCATTCCCTGCCAGCAAAGGGCAGGCACCAGGGGGAAGGAGAGGGGATTCTCAGAGCATTGTCCCTGCCTCAGTGACAGTGAGGTGCTGATCACTTCAGAGAGCCGAGATCTGGCCAGCAGCAGCCTTCGGATAACCTTCTTCCCCTCCTCGCCCACACCACGCTACACATCTCATTTATAAACCTCTTCTGAGTAGCCATGCCAAACAGCTCCACACCACACACTGAAGGCCAGCCACAGCGCCGGGTGGCCAGCAAGGTGACAGCAGGCTGCTCCATGT